AGGCACAATAAAGCAAAATGGAATAAAATGAGGTCTGTTTGTACCTCGTTGTCTTCTAGTTTTTACTGTTTCTATCAAGGAGAGAGCTGTAAGTCTTCCTCTGAATGACATATGCCTTTGTTCCTCTGACTGTTCTTAAATTGTTGTTATATTGTCTTTGGTTTTCAAGAGTTTTATTAAGATGGGTCAAGGTATAGTTATCTTTGGTTTATCCTTTTTTTTTTTTTTTTGAGACGAAGTCTCGCTCTGCCCCCCAGGCTGGAGTGCAGTGGCACCATCTCAGCTCCCTGCAAGCTCTGCCTCCCGGGTTCATGCCATTCTCCTGCCTCAGCCTCTCGAGTAGCTGGGACTACAGGCACCCACCATCATGCCTGGCTAATTTTTTTTTATTTCTAGTAGAGACAGGGTTTCACCGTGTTAGCCAGGATGGTCTCGATCTCCTGACTTCATGACCCGCCCGCCTTGGCCTGCCAAAGTGCTGGGATTACAGGCGTGAACCACTGCGTCCGGCCTACGCTTTTTTTTTTTTTTTAATAATTTGGTCTTCTGGTCCTTTGTTCCCTGCTTCATCACCACCACCACCTACCATGGGGAGTTTTGGGCACAGGAACCTAAATCCCCACAAAGGTTCTGTGTTGGGGGTATGTAATAACAAATAAGTCCATCAGATCAAATATTATTTTCCAACCAACTTGGAATTTGCTAAGTTCCATGAAAATGTGGTTCACCAGTTTTGAAAAATGTTTGGCCACTATCTCTTCAACCGTTGCTTCTGATTTGCTCTTTCTGTCTTCTTCTAAGATTAATTATACATATATTAGACTTCTTGGGTATATCACACATATCTCTTATGCTCTTTTTATTATTTTTCTCTCTATGCATTGGTTTAGATATTGTCTGTTAATCTACTTCCACATTCACTAACCCTGTGGTCTGCTGTGTTTAATCAGCTGTTAACCCATCAGCTGAATTTTCACTTCAGCTATTATATTTTTCAGTTCTAGATTGTCTGTTAGATTCCTTTTTATAGATTTCAATTCATTGCTGGTATTTTTTGTCCTTTTACCTATTTAGTTCCCCATCTTTTTGAGGGTACTAATCACAGTTATTTTACAGTCTTAATTTGCTAACTATAATTTCTTGATTATATGTGAGTTGTTTCCATATTCTGCTTTTTTCCCCTTAGTTATTAGCCATATTCTCTTCTCTCTTTGGTAAGTTTTTAATTTTGCCAGACAATGTGTATGAGAGGACAATAGAGGCTTCAGCTAATGTTATTATTGATCAGGGAGTTTCTTCTTTTCTGTTCAGCAGATGGAATGAGGTATTGGTGAACTCAATCTGACCAGAATTTTCCATTTTACAAAAACAGATTAGATCTTGGTTTACTTGTGTTTCTCAGTCGAGGCTTTTCTGGGCTTTTCATAGAGAGCCTTGTGAATCTCTCTTGCCTTAGTTCCAAGAAATTTTGGGAGAACCAGATATGCCCTCCAGAGATTCACAGTCCAGATCTCAAGTGATCGGTCTCATAGAGATGAAAAATCTGGCAAATGTTTTGATGGAAAACAGGTTATGTGCTTGAGGCAGAGCTGCTGCTTCTAGTAGATTTTTTTGTTTTTTAATTATCAATCTTTAACAGCATCTTGGATAGCCTATGAGTGTATGAACTTGACAAGCATTGCCTCTATGGTTCACAGTAATTTCTAAAATACATTCACTTTATTGGCCATTATCCTATGAAAACTGATTTTGTAATCTCAATAAAGTGGAAGTGGATTTTATAATCTTGATAAAGTGGAAATTAACAAGGCAGTTTCATGAATAATGTATCCTTTTTTCTCTTTTTGAAAATTATACATACTATCTTGCATATTTATGGGGTACATGTGATACTTTGTTGCATTCATAGAATGTATAATAATCAAGTCAGAGTATGTGGAGTATCTATCACCCTGAGTATTTACCATTTTTATGTGTTTGGAATGTTTCAATTTCTCTCTTGTAACTACTTTGAAGTAGACAATACACTGTTGCTAACTATAGTCACCCTACCTTACTATCGAATAGAATTTATGCTATCTAACTGTAGGTTTGTACCCATTAACCAAGCTCTCTTTATCCCCACCTTTTACCCACACAGCCTTCCCAGCCTCTAGTATCTGTTATTCTACTCTCTACCTTCATGGGATTAACTTTTTAAGCTCCTATATATGAAGAAGAACGTGCAAAATTTGTCTTTCTGTGTCTTCCTTATTCCACTAAATGTAATGACTTCCAGTTCCACTCATGTAGCTGCAAATGACATAAAACCATTACTTTTTAATGGCCGAATAGAAGGTTTTTGATTTGTAATAGCTTAAAGCTTCATGAGATTTTACTCTGCCGTTTCCAAAGCTTCCACGTCCTTCTCCAGCTACCTACACTACCCCAGAGCTCAGGAAATCCCTGTTTCGCAAACTCATCATTTGTTTGAGATCCCTCGAGTTTTTGATTGTCAGAGTAGCCCCACATAACCATTAAAAGCTTTCCTGGTTTCTCTTTTTCCAGCAGAGGTCCTCTGTCTGGGTGAAGCCAAGTCTTCAGCTTGCAGCCCAAATTGGTAATGTTGGCAGGGGGGCGGGAGGCTGGCAATCATCAGTTCTTATCTTAATCAGTGTCATTGTCTCTTCTCTGAAAATTTTTTTCCCACTCCTAGTAGTTTCTTAGCTCTTTGATTCTTGAAAAGTACAGCTTCTTCAATGTATCCATGTACTTATCAATGAAATCCTCCCAAGAAGCAGAAGCTCTTGAAAATCTTATTTTGATATTCATTTCCTGGCTATATAATCTATGTTTCTGAAGTGCTCTTTAAACTAACTCTTTTTGGGATTTTTCCCTATTCATTTCCTCATTAATGAGCTAAATAACACTTTGGCCTGTTCTAAACATAACATTGAAAATTCTATTTTGCACACCTCATATAAACTCCGAGAACAGGGCAAAGGGAATCACGTTTATGACACTAATTCTTCTAGCAGTGAACTCTTGCTGAATAGGTTTGGAATTTACTGGCAAAACAGTGGTGGTAGGAGGGCAGCGAGAGAAGAAGGGATGGGGCTGGAGCCGTGTCCAAAGGAAGATGCTTTTCCATTCTCTAGTTCCATGACTATGATTTTTTTTTTTTTTTTCAGCCTGAGGAAGTGCATCTTGTCTATAGAGGTTTACTCAAGATTGAGTGAAATTTTACCACTCACACAGTGTCCTTTCTCATTGCCACATCATAAACCAGTCTTTCCCCTGAGTCACACACATACAACCCTTGCACAGCAAGTCATGATGGTGCCGTGTGTGTATGTGATAGTGATGGGAAAAGGATAAAACAGAACACTCAACTTGTGTTATGGCAAAAAGAGATTGCAGTGATGATAAAGAATGCAGGAAAGGAAGCTAATTTATCTGTTAGGAAAAATCTTCCACTTGCTTATAAATTCTGTTTCCTCTGATGAAGTTTCACTATAAAATGTTTTCTTTTTCTTTAAAAACAAGAAGACGAGAGGACATTGATTAATTAAAAATCTTTACGTTAAAAGATACTGGAAACTTACGAAGAATAAATGTAATGTATAAGACCCGTATAAGGCCTTAGGTTGAAAACAACATGCACCCATGAGCTTGCTAAGTAATTTGAGAAATAGAACATAATTGACATCTTTGCAGTTTTCTGTATACTTCTCATTTTACCTCCCTGCTTCCCCCCAGAGATAGCTACTCCCCTGAACGTTAGTGTTTTTATAGTGTTAGCATTTATGTTTGCATGCAAAAATATATTATTTTGCTTCATTTAAAAATTTTTATAAAAATAATGCGCTATTCTTCCTTTTTTCATTTTATGTTTTGTTTTTAAGTTACATTCATGCTGATATATGTAACACAACTTAGTTTTCACACTGTGTCCTGTTCAGTAGTGTAATATATACTGTAACTGATGCATTCATTTTACAGTCAATGGATTTGGGCACTGTCACTGGATTTTTGCTTTTATGAAAAATGTTTCTCTGAGTGTTCTTGTACTGGCCTTATAGGGTGTGTACTCGTGGTATTCTTTAGACAAAGTATAAGCTGAATCTTGAGACAGGCACATGTTCATATTGTTTTCCAAAGTGGTTGCAACGGTTTCTATCACATCAAACAGAGTTTCTACTTGTTGCCAACATCTGGTTTGTTAGACTTGAAAGTTTTTTGCCTACCTAGGAAATGTAAAATAGTTTCTCGTTTGTGTTTCTAATTTCCTTGGGTTTTTAAGTTAAGTATCTTTTCATTTAGTTAATTGGCCTTTCAGGTTTTCTCTTCTGTGAAATGCCTGTTTTTGTCTTTTTTGTCTATTTAATAGTTATTTTTTCTCTTCTTAACTGATTCTAGGCGTTCTACATTTTTGTGTTACTAATTCTCTGTGAGTTATTTGTGTTATAAATATTTTCCTCTTCTGGCTTGTCTTTTATTTTTTTAAACGATGTCTTTTGGTGAGTAGAAGTTTTTAATAATAATGTAGGCAAATTTATTACTTTTTATATATTTTTAAAACCTTTGAGTCTTTTAAAAGCTTTCAATTTTTACCATCCTGATATTCCTTTATTTTAGATAGGTATATTCTTTTGTATTTTATTCTTAAAGATGGGAAGTTTTGCCTTAGTATGTGATTCATCTGAAGTGGATCTTTTTTTTTTTTGTTTTCTGCAAGGGATGAAATAAGGAACTAATTCTGTTTCCTCAGCATATGCTTTGCCAGTTGTCCCCAAAATTGTTATTGAACAATGTGCATTGCCACCTCTGTCATGTGCTAACTTTCCATACGTATTTGTCAGGATAGGAAACGTTACAATGAAGTAGCAAAGCTTGAAATCTCAGTGACTTTGCGCAACACAAGTTTATTTCTCACGCTTGTTAAGTCTGAAGTTGGTCATTGGCTCTTTTTGGTGGTTCTCTTAGAATGGTGACTTTATCGGGAATCCAGGCTGTTCCTGCAACCCTATAAGCTGAGAATTATTTCCTTCCATAGCTTCACATATAAGAGAAAGATTGGGATGATGGAAAGTCACATGAGCTCTTAACTGCCCTGGGGCTTATGGCTGGCCCCAACCATAAGCAAGGGAGGCTGTCAAATTTGGGGAGCACGTATACATATTTAATGACCATTTATTGTCTCTGCCATGTAAGTGTGGGCCTCTTTCTGGTTTCTTTATTCTGTTCCTGGTCTATTTGTATATCCTTGCAACAATTCCTTAATTGTTAAAGCTTTGTAATAAGTTTCAATATCTGCTTGTACAAGTCCCTCATCTAGAAATATTGGTGAAAGAAAAAAGACTATAAAATATTAGGAATGAACAGGGATGTATAACTATGGACATGGCAATATTTAAAGATAAGAGAATACCAAGAGTGACTTTAAGCCAAAACATTTGAAATTTTAGATCAAAGAACAAATTCCAAGGAAATCATAATGTATCAAAATTGACTAAAGAAAAAATAAAATATCTGAATAGTCTCATATAATATTAAATATTTGATTCATATTATAACTATCCTACAAAGAATAGTTTGTATAAAGAAAATAGAATAGATTCTACAAAGAAAGTATTTTACCGAAATGATATTTGAGTGAGTTCTACCAAATATTCAAGCAACAGGTAACATCAATCTTATACAAAATTTTTAGAGGATAAAAATTTAAAAGAAACACATTCTAATATATTATATGAAGCTGAAATACCATTAACACCAAAACTAGAAAATCCCAGTATAAGAAAATAATATTGTATTTCAACCAAGAGGTACAAATCTTAAAATAAAATACAATTATCAGTGTATAACCCATGGTGATTTTAAAAAGATGAGAATCCATGACCATATTATGATTATCCCAGAAATATAAGGATGGTTTAATCTCAGGCAATTTATTAATATTGTATATCATATATAGAGTAAGGGAAAAACTGATATTAATAGATGCAAAAATAGTTTTATCATAGTATCCAATATCTATTCTTGATACTCTCTTGGGAAACCAGGAAGAGAGGAGGCCATTCTTAACCCGATAAATGATGTCTACTGAAAACCTAGAAGTAAGTCTCATACTCTTTAAAACACTGGTTCTCTTTAAATCAGGAGCAATACAAGAATTACTATTATCAATTATTTTATTTAATGTTTTATTGGAGTTGCTGGCCAATGCAGCAAGGTAAGAAAATAACAAAGGTAAAAAACACTGTAATAAAATGAACAGAGCTATTATTATTTGAAGATAATATGACCTGTCTACATGGTAAACCCACCAAAAAATGCTTGTTTTTTACTGTTGAGAAGCTGGGTCATATTCGACAGTCAAGAATTCTGGAATAAGTTTTCATCAAATCCCTATTGAACTGCATAGTATACACTGCACTGAAAAGTATGATTATGAGAGCCAGGTAATAGCATAAAAACTATTTGTTAAGTCAAAAGAGATTACAAAGATATATGTGCATAGAAAAAAAGAGTAGATGGGAATATTGCTTGGTGCTACAGGGGGTTAGGTGGCAAGATCATGAATTAATTTTCCATATATTCTTTATGTCCCATATCTTCTGTGTTGTGCCTATATTTTTTATAACAAAAGTATTTTTAAAATTTGTACTAATGAGAACCTTTGGAATCTTCCTGCAGAGTTAGTGATGCTTGTTGACTTGTGTCAGAGAGTCGTTGAAGACAATACAGTTTCACCTAACCTTTAACTGCACAGTAAGTCAGACACATTTATTGGGTTGTAACTCATATTTAGAACCTGACATATAATGAATACTGGTAAGACATCATCTTACCTTATGAAACACAATAACTTCCTTATTCACTAAAATAACTGAAAATGGCACTGCACCCAAACTTCACAGAAATGTGCATCGAGTCATTGTGATAGAGTAAAACAGAAGAAAAAGGAGTTAAACAAAGTCTGTAGATCCAAATCCTAGTCTTGGCTTTCCCATACTAGGCTTGGTTTCCTATTTCAAAATGTGAATAGTGAGAAAGTGCCCTGTTTATAACATTGATTTGTCATGAGGGCAAAACAAAGAACCCCAAAACTGAACCCCAAATTAGAGGACCTAGAAGAGATGGTAGAAGCAGTTTCTACTGGCTGTTCATACTCGTCCAAGTGGCCTTTGTTTGAGTTCTTCCAGGGATGGGGCAAACACTGTCTCTGCATTGCTGAGTGCTCAATGTATTGTTACGAAGACCTTTTTCACATTGGCCTCTTGGACGTCTACCCCATTGCCTTCGTTCTCTCTCTGGGTTAGGGTACCGTGATTCCTGGCATGGCCTGGTGGCTTCCAGGTATACGGATATCAATATTCTTAGCCTAAGGGCCCGTGGGAGAGCCTAGCTGGTCTTCTTTGGCCATGAACAGCCTTTGTTATTGTTTTCTCTGCATGCCATGACAGGAGCATGTCTGAGGGCTTTCTCCAGTGTGACCCTCCTTCGTATCAGAAGGTACACTCCCACTGGGGCAGCTAAGCACACAGCCTCCTACCACACATGATTCACTGTGGACATCTTGGTCAGCAGACTCTGGCAATTGTTTGGTTTTGTTTTCCACCAGTGCTTTGCTTTTTCATATGCCTTGTCCTGTACTTAACGATATGAGATTAGGGAAATAAGAATGGGATTTTAGATTTGTCTGTGATAAATCTCACGATGTTAGATTTAGCCTATGGTTCTATCTTAATGGCATCTTTTGGGATCCCGGTTTGCTCTCTCAGTGAATTCACAGTCCATTTTAAGTCCAGGACTCCCAGAATGTGGTAAGCTTGCCTGCTCTGCCCTTCTGCTGTAGAAACCTGTTCTGTACCTCCTAGCTCCCTCCCCAGCCCCTGGCTTGGCCTCGAGGCATTCTCCTTTCCTGCATTCATGGCCTCCAGGAACATTACCACACACCATCTGCACATCATCTGGTTCTTTTGGCCAATGCTCACTTGATAATGTTTTTTTTGGCTTTAGTTTCCAGTTCTGCTTTCTAAATTTGTATTTGCTTTCTTTGGAAAATGTATTCCTTCTTCCCTACCCTCCCTCCTTTCCTGCATTCCTCTGCTCTGTACTCTCCACAACTGAAACGTGCCATGGCCATGTCCATGCCCAGCCTGGCTGCCTCTTTTCTGGGAGGAGAGGTCAGCTCCACACCTGAGAGCTAGGATGGAACCGAATACCTGGAACTGAGCCTGAGGCTTTCCAGTAGAGCACACTATTCAGATGGACTCGTTTACCATTGAGTGTGGGTGTTTATACATGTATCCAACTCTACTAATCATATTCTTCATTTTACTCACAAGACAGATGTTTGCAGATACTTACATGAAATTCTGATTCACTAAATTTACAGCATTTAACTGTGGTAATCTGACCATCTAACAACCCCATCAAACAAAAGATTGCATGAGCTTCACCAGACCTGGCTTGTTTTCAGTCAGTTCATGCTTTCCCTTGGCGATCGTGGCTTCATTAAGTGTTGAAAGACTATCCCTGTAATCATTCATCTAGAATATTTCCCATTCCCTCATCTGTGCTTGCAAAATCCCTTAAACTCGGTGATGGATGTGGAAGCTGTCTGTCTGGAGGTATGAAGAATTAAGGGATGGCATTCTCCCCAGAGGTTTGATAGAAAGCCGAAGACAGTGTGCGGTCTGGAAGAGTCATGGGGATGATATGAATTGTTCATGTATCATTGCCTGCAACAGGAGTATGATAAGCAGCCAGGCACTCAAGCCAGATCCTTAGGGCCTGACCACAAAGGTTGCCAGTGGCCAACGGGGATGGCATGGTTACTTTTCTAGTGTAAAGAGACAATGGTTAAACTAACAGAATGTGTCACACTGGAAAGCATTTTGGAGATCAGGTCAATTAGTGCTCCCCATGTGAATGTGCACACAGGTCACCCAGGAAGCTTAGTCAAATATAGATTTGAATTCAGTGGTTCTGGGGTGGGTCCTAATGATCTACATTTCCATTGTGCTCCTTGGTGATGCTCTTGGCTCATGGGCCACACTTTGGGTCCCAAGAGTTTAGACTATACTGTTTTATTTAGTTTTTTTGTCAGATGTAGAAACTGAGTTCCAGTGAGGTGAAGTGATTTTCCCAAAGATAAATAGATGAAGTTAAAGCTAACTCTTTAACCCAGGTCTGCTGGCGTCCAGGTTGGTGTCTCTCTAGTTACAGAATTGCTGGACTTAGGAAAGCAGAGGTCTCCTGCGCTCTCTTAATGGCCTGTAGCATGTTGAGGGGGAGCCAAGGTTAGATTCTAAGGGTGCACGTACTTGCACACACATGCACACACATACACACATGCTCATGCACACACGTGCACACATATACTGAACGTGCTTCTTCCTATTCTCCTTTTTCAATTGGGAGGTATAAGAAGCACATGGATTACAGCCACGTTAGAGACATTTATAAATGCAAATCAATTCGGAATGTGTAAACTTTTCCATAAGAATATTATGGAAAAATACTGAGTTATTTCTGACCTTTTATGTATAAACACAGACATTCTAGAGTTCGGCAAAGACCACGTTACTGATAAAATTGTATTAGAATGATGCCTTCTGATACTTTAAATGTTAAAAGCTCTGGGCTTGGCTCAGGGAATTTTAGACTCTAGCATTCATAAAGGACCCTAGAGTTTGGGAGATTATCCATTAACTTCTGGTATTGAAATTTTGTTGCCAACTATGACTATTTGTTTTCCCTGAACTCTGTAGGGGAATAATACAGCTGAGAAAACCCAGGCAAAAGCGCGTGTGTGGGTGCATGTGTGTGGCATGTGTGTTCACACATGTTAGCTAAACAGTGCAGATTCCTCCAGTTTTTCTCCTTTTTGAGAAGTGGGAAGGAGGAAGAGAGAAGAAATTGTCTGGAGTGGAAAAGAGGGTCGGAAAAATCCTTGAACTAATAATTTGCCAATTAATCCAGCTGCTTGGTAATAGCCTGGAATTGGAAGGTCTTTGGGGTGCTCTCCGGAAAGGGTGCCAGGAAGTATGAGACAGTGGCTGCTAGGAACTTGCACTGTTCCTGAGGAGATAAGACCTGTTGTCAAGTAAATTGCGGTGGATCCCTGGTAACACTTGAAGAGCAATGCAAGCCTGGGTTCCACCTGGGCTCCACCCCTGCCTGACTAAGGGAGCTTGGGGGAAGTACTTACATAATCTCAATCAGTTTCCTCACCTGTAAAATGGGCCTAAAGAATTTAAATTTCCATGCAAGTCAAAACCATAACGAGATACCATCTCACACCAGTCAAAATGGCTATCACTAAAAAGTCAAAAAATAAGAGATGCCAACAAGGTTGCAGAGAAAAGGGAATGCTTACATTCTGCTTGTGGGAATGTAAATTAGTTCAGCCACTGTGAAAAGCAGTTTGGTGATTTGTCAAAGAACTTAAAACACAACTACCATTTGACTCAGCCATCCCATTATTAGGTATATTCCCACAGGAATATAAATCATTCTACCATAAGAACATGATGTTCATTACATCACTATTCTCAGTAGCAAAGACATGGAATCAACCTAAATGTTCATCAGTGGTAGACTGGATAAAGAAAATGTGGTACATATACACTATGGAATATTATGCAGCCATGAAAAAGGACAAGATCATGTATTTTGCAGCAACATGGATACAGCTGGAGGTCATTATTCTGAGAACTAACACAGAAACAGAAAATCAAATACTGAATGGTGTCACTTATAAGTGAGAGGTAAACACTGAGTTCATATGGACACACAGAAAGGAACAACAGACACCAGGACCTAATTGAGGGTGGAGTGTGGGAGGAGGGTGAGGATTGAAACTACCTATAGGGTACCATACTTATTACCTGGGTTACAAAACAATCTGTAGACCAAGCCCCCTGAATACACAATTTCCCTATATAACAAACCTGCACAAGTACCCCTGAACCTAAAATAAAATTAAAAATAAATAAGTAAATGAATACATAATTTAAATTTCCTTGAAGAATGCCTGGAACCTGTAAGTGCTCACTTTTGCTATCTCCGTTATCATCACAGAAAGAAGGCACAGGTTCAGAGTCGGGAAAACCACACCAGGATGCTTGAGTAGTGGTCTGCTTGAGCAAATGGTGGTGAAAACTGGAAAGAAGGAGAAGGAGCAAAGAGGAGGTGGGCTGTGTCGTGCTGGGTGGTGTCACATTGACTAGGGTAAGGAGCGGCAGTGGCAGAATTGAGGCTGCAGAGCATTGAAGCAGAGGTTTGAGCAGTGCCTCTCAGGGTCAGCAGGCGGCCCATCCAGGTGAGCACAAAGGGTTCTTGGAAAGGGTAATGGAACAATGACAGGAAAGTGTGTGAGACCAGATGTCTGTGGGCCTTGAATGCTAGAATTGGAGGCTTGACTCTTCCTCCCTACACTGCAGATTTTTGAGTAGCATTGTGATAGGCTGGACGCTGTATCATGTTGAGAATGTTCATCTGAGTGCAGGGCACGGGAAGGGGTATGAGAGAAATAAAAGAAGAGGCAGGCCAGGTGCAGTGGCTCATGCCTGTAACCCCAGCACTTTGGGAGGCCAAGGGGAGTGGATCATCTGAGGTCAGGAGTTTGAGACCAGCCTGACCAACATGGTGAAACCCCATCTCTATTAAAAATACAAAAATTAGCCAGACATGATGGCGGGCGTTTGTAGTCCCAGCTACTCGGGAGGCTGAGGCAGGAGAATCGCTTGAACCTGGGAGGCAGAGGTTGCAGTGCACCAAGATTGTGACATTACACTCCATCCTGGGAGACAGAGCAAGACTCAGTCTCAGGAAAAAAAAAAAAAAAAAAAGGAGTAAGCTTGGCAGCACCAGCTCTCCTAGGTGGATCTGGTTGCGTTTGTGGAAGCCGGAGGCTCCAGCTTTCATCTCCGTGAGCTGAGGGGTGATCAGTGGTCACCCTACCTCCAGGGTGTGGTGAAAGGAGACTTCCAGAGTTCTCAGTAGACATGGCAGGGGTGGTGGGCACCAGGAGAAGTGGCCGGGATCTAGGACATGAGCAGACCTGAATGAGGAGTCCTGCAGCATGGCCTGGGCTGCCTCTAGGGAGACGGCCCTCAGGATTGGGAGGTAGGCAGAAAGGAAAAGCTTATACCACCACAGGCCTGGGACTGACCGGTCAATACTCTGATGATGGGAACATGATAATGAGCTGGATTCAGCCAGCAGACCTTGTCCAGGTTCAACACAAAGTCAGGAGAGGAAAGCACCAGCTTCGGGAAGCGTTAGAGGTTACCGTGCAGTAGTGGGTGTTTGTGCAGTAGTGGGTGTTGGTGCAGTAGAGGGTGTTTGTGCAGTAGAGGGTGTTTGTGCAGTAGTGGGTGTTGGTGCAGTAGAGGGTGTTTGTGCAGTAGTGGGTGTTTGTGCAGTAGAGGGTGTTGGTGCAGTAGAGGGTGTTTGTGCAGTAGTGGGTGTTGGTGCAGTAGAGGGTGTTGGTGCAGTAGAGGGTGTACTGGTGCAGTAGTGGGTGTTGTGCGTAGAGGGATGTTGGTGCAGTAGAGGGTGTTGGTGCAGTAGAGGGTGTTGGTGCAGTACTGGGTGTTGGTGCAGTAGAGGGTGTTGGTACAGTAGTGGGTGTTGGTGCAGTAGTGGGTGTTGGTGTTTCTTAAGGATCTGGCACGTTTGCTGAGTGATTCTGGCTGTCTGCCTGGCTCTGAGCTTTCTGTTCGTCATTCCCCAGATGTGTCATGGCCGAGGGATTAAAGGCCTCAGAGGCTGTGACACAGCCATCTCCAAAACCCCACTTTCTCCTTCCTTTGAGCCTCCGCACCAGCTGGGGCGTCTGGCAAGATGTGAGCTGTCAGTCTGCTGCGGCACAGACCTGAATGAACAACTCTAGCCAGGGCTGACTTCAAAACGCACTTTCGTTTTTAATAACCAACATCAGCTCAGCAGGCTTCATTTGGGAAAAGAGACCTTGTCCGATTACCCCGACATTCTCCACCTCCTGAGAGGCCAGCCATTCCCAAACGCCCCAAGGATGAACGGAGATGGTAAGATGATTAATTGCACTGCAGGTTTTTTGCTTCTGCATTTTTTTCCCTCCTTTTTTGGGGTTTACTCACACGTTAATGAGGTATTTAGGAAAGACAAACGGAATCTGATAAAAGGTAATGTTATGTTGTGTTATGTTATGTTGTTTGTTGAAATAGCATTTTAAGGATTTCTTGAAGTTATATGTGTATGTTATACAGAGCGTATGTGTTATCTGTATGTGTTATACAGAGCGTAGACGTGTTTAAGATGTGTTAATGAGCCATATTAAGAGATCAACTGTGATTACCTATGGAAGACTTAACTATGAAATATATGGGAAATATGCTTTATAACTGTATGTTACTTATAAACCACAAATAGTTACCTGACTTTTGGTATGTGGTGAGAGATGTGAAGTGAAAGGCATTGTAAATGAAGTCGTTTTATAAGACTGTTATTACTGTAAGAATTGAGACTTGTTTTATCACTTTCCATTAAGCTTCTACAATGTTAGAGAGGCGTAATCTCACCCAATGTTTGACTGAAGGTGCTATTTTTTATTTATTTATTTTTTATTTTTTTTGAGATGGCGTCTCGCTCTGTCACCCAGGCTGGAGTACAATGGCACGATCTTGGCTCACTGCAACCTCCACCTCCCGGGTTCAGGCGATTCTCCTGCCTCAGCCTCCTGAGTAGGTGGGACTACAGGCACGTGCCACCATGCCCAGCTAACTTTTTGTATTTTTAGTAGAGACGGGGTTTCACCGTGTTAGCCAGGATGGTCTCGATCTCCTGACCTCGTGATCCGCCCGCCTCGGCCTCCCAAAGTGCTGGGATTACAGGTGTGAGCCACCGCGCCCGGCCTGAAGGTGTTATATTATTAACAGCAGGCTCTATTGGTTTCATTTAAAGGTATAATGCATTGTATTGGCAAAACTTGTATACACTTTCTTCAATAAGGACTTCAAAGGTAATCTTAAAAGCCTGATCATGTTTTTTACCCCCACTCAGAAGCTTTGCTAGTGTTGCACCTACAGCTGTAGAGAGGACCGTGCACTCTCAGAGGGGATTATAAACATTGTCTTGCATTTTTGTCCTTGATCTCCATAATTTATCCTTGATCTCCGTTTATCCTTCATCCCCATAATTCCTACTGATAGTGTTGTTGTGCATCAGAATGAGAAAATGGGACTAAACCTGAAGGATTACGGAAAGAAAATAACAAAACAAAAAGGAGAACCAAATGAAGCTTGTTCAGTTCAATTTATAACTCCTTATTGCTTATGTAAAATGTGAATTTTTTGTTGTGTTGGTGAGGGTGTGAGGAGTGGATGGTGGGGAAGGATGCTTCAAAAAATACAGCTAAGGATCAACTGGTTTGGTGAGTCATGGCATTCACCTGTGAGACAGCTGGAGAACAGTGACGTGTGTGTGTGTCTGTGTCTGTGTGTGTATCTGTGTGTGTGTGCATTCGATGCAGGAGATTGGTGTTTACTGTAAATGTGTTGATCCGTTAGGAAAAGGAAGAAGACAAAGTTGTCCAGAAAGAACCAAGAAAACTGAGATGAATTTGATCTGCCTAGTGGCAGTGATGAATTTAAGAAGATTCTTAACGACCTTTACTAATGCTACATGCTGTTGTTAATCATTGAACTGACAAACCCAACTGGGCACAAGACTGTTTACTTAGGAGGAGAACTTGACATGAGTGCTCAAAGAATAGTGAGGGTATACTTCTAAAATACGTCCTTGAAACATTTACACAAACAGCACAAGCTCATTGTCAAGAATAAAATTTAAAAAAATACATAGAGATACTAGTAAAAGACAAGAAGTAAAAACACACCACTGTGAGATAAACACTGTTAACATTTTGGTAGGTACATTTGTCTCTGAGTCCATTTACAGTTTGAAGAAATATACTTGTACTCTACATGCTATTCAGTTATCTGCTTTTACCTCACAGCAATGTATTACGAGCATCTTGTCATGAGAATGAATTTTCTTTTACAAAAGCTTTTCCATTTCATTGCATAGATAGTTTATTAAATCCTGTTGGCAGGTGGTTGATTGTTTTTCTCTTATTAACAGTACTAAAACTAACACCCTTGCAGCTAAACCTTTGCATCTCCTCATGAGTTTTCCGTGAGATAAATCCCCAGAGGTAGAATTGTAGGGGTCAAAGAGCATGGGCATTTTAGAAACTCTAGATCCCTGCTGCTAAATTAATCCTAGGAAAGTTTTATTAATTTATATGCCCACCAGCACTGTGTGAACATTTTCTAACACTCTCATCGGCATTGGGTTTTATAATTTTTTAAAAAGTGTACTACTCTAATAATAGGCAAAGGTATATTTTGTTGTCTTAATTTACCTTAAGGAAGCCCTTTGCAAAATCTGCTGGCTTCCAGTTCTGCCCCTTTGGGTTCAGCCTCTCATCTTTTTTGGTTACTCATTGCCAAGGCAGTCACCTCTAACAGTAACTTCTGCCAACCTAATTTCTGAGGACTTTGACCTCATTTGATGTCTCTCAGAAAGTCTGCTGAGAGAGCGAGAGAACTGGATGCTTTTGCTCTGAATTTTTACTGATTGAGGAACCTGGGGCAAACCTCAGTCTTTGTGATTTTGTCTCCATTTTAGCTATAAAATGTAGAGAGAAGGCCTGTGCTAGCCGCCTCACAAGATTGTACTGGGATTATAAAGAGGCAAGATAGAGGCAAGCTTTTTGAATAGTAGAAAAGTAAAAATGCAAAATGGCATTATTATTATTGTTGTTACTGTAAAGTTTAGTGACAAGTCTTGCCTTCTAAAATATATAGTTTCTGGAGAGCTGCATGCCGAAATTTTGACGTCTTCTAATTCTAAAGTTGGGAAGTGTGTGTGTGTGTGTGTGTGTGTGTGTGTGGTGTGGTGTGTATAACATATTTCTATGTTTCTTGGTTCTTCGATTCACTAGCAGTGTTTGGTGGGTTCCAGCAGTGCATGGATACATTTTAGATTAAAAAGGTTTCTATTTTGTTGCTTATCTATTCCATTCGCTTGGAGGAAAACCAGCCATCCCCCTCCTGTAGAATTCTCATCATCCATGGGCTTTGCTCAACTCCCCAGTGGACTGAGAGCTCCTCAAAGACAGGGGCTGGTTTCATGTGTATACCTCTCTCCAGGGCCTGCTTTGGGGTCTGACACCCACAGTGGGGATCAATCAATGTTTCTC